TATGTGCTAGAGGGGAGATTGTCAAATGTGCATATTTTAAGCTCTTTATTTTTTTCAAAAAATTTATGCATATATGTAATATTGAGGGTTTTCACTGAAAATCATAACTTTTTAACTTTAGGTAACAGTAGTTCTTATAAATGTTATTTTTATTACTCTATAAAATGGTAGTTGTCTGTAGGATTGGAGTATTCAACTTGAATGTCTACTGTTCTGGAGAAAAACACAAAATGTTATTTCTTCATTGTGTGTTGGGGCAAGGCCTTAAATGGCCTTGTTATATGGTTTCTACTCCTAGGTTAATATAATTAACATTTTATAATGAATTGATATTGCTAATAAAGAATGGAACTAGTAGAAATGATAGTACTACTAAAGTGTGGAACTAACAGTATATGTAGTTTGGGAAATAACTGAACTCTTTAACGCTGCCCATCAGTGCATTATATTAAAAGAGAAATATTTAAAGTAGGTGGCTTTCTAAAACAGCATAAATAATCAAGGTATATCACATACAGGTACAAATTCATTATGCTGAATGTGATCATTATGTATATCAAAATAGTACCAATAAACTTAATAGAAAAAGAAAAAAGGAAATAGCATAAATAAAAATGGTAGGTTCGTTTAAGTTTTTCCTTGTGTTCTACATTCAGCTTATAATAAACCCACTTTGACCCACCCATGTTGCTTTTTCACCGTGTTTTGAAGTATGAATGTCTTTCTACTCATAGGTCACAAGGTTAGGAAAATTGCTAGCTACCTTTTACCTTTCTGTTGTTGTAAACAGTCAGCTTAAATAGGCTTCTTCCTGAAACAAGAGTTCTATGGAATACCTCCTACCCCCACTTCACCCTAATACACAAGGTGTTCTGTACAGTGCATTTCTAGCTTGGTTTTTCCTGAGTTTTAACATGCTTATGTTTGGTCTTTTTAAAGGATGTATTCATTCATCATTTTATACAGCCATCATCTTTTATCCATTTCCAGAACTTTTTCCATGGTTCCAAATAAAACTCTATACCCATTTGCTTAGAATTTCCAGTGACACTTACCATCCCTTCAATCTTTCTTTCCTCCATTGGATATAAGGTGTATGTGTGTGTGTTGCCTGTGTGTGTTCTTTCTTTTTTCTCTTTTGAGACTGATCTCACTGTGTTGTGAAGGCTAGCCTGGAACTGTTGATCCTCCTGCCTCAGCTTGTTGAGCAGTTGGGGTTACTACAGGTATGCGCCACTGTGCCCAGCTTTAACAGTATCAGTTATATTAAATAAATTGCTGCTTTTTATTTGTCCTTCACATTTAAGAAAAGAATACACTCTTCCTTTCTCCCCAGAAGTAAATCTTAATCCTCAGTTTAGTTTGTTATTTTCACAAAGCTTTTCATATTTTACTACTATGTATGTGTTTTGAGAGTGCCCAGCTATATTGGGGTTCCTAGTACAAAAGCAGCTAATAACATCCTAAGGAGAAGTGAAAGGGAGCTGGACATCAGTATTTATAGGGTGTGTTTCACAGGATTCTTTTTGCTTTATAGAGTAATGCCTGCTGGTTTGATCCATCACTAGGGGGCTCCCTCACACAGGAAACTTATTTCTGTGACAGGCACCCTTGTGGCTCCTACCTGATTTGTGTCCTCTTTGCCTGCCTGACCATCATTCTGTGCTAAGTGCCTAACTTTGTGTTCTCCCTGGCGTCCTGGGAAACTAAGATGCAGTAGTGCCTGTCTCTAGATGGAAGACTCAAATTCAATACACCACCCTCAGGAAATAAATTCAGTTTCTCACTTACAGATCTTTGGCAGGGTGAACACAATGAGTTGGGGAGACATTCCTCTCTCCCTGGGTTATGTGAGGCAGGAATAAAGAGCCAGAGAGAAGAAATAAAAAGAGAATATGAATATGAGAATATTCACTACAGTAGGAACATAAAAGCCACACATACATCTGTATGTTTTAAAATTTTATAAATAGTATGTTGCATGTACACTCTGCAAGTTGTTTTGGTTCAGCATTGTTTTATGAGAATTATGTTGATGTAACTAGTTCATTTTAATGAGCATATTTATTATATTGTATGTTTATCAATTCATTTATTCTTGTTAACATTTAGGTTGTTGAAAGTCTTGTCATAGTATTGTGTTACAGTTTGCATTTGTTAAATGTTACATACATATCCTGGAGTTTCTGTTTGCCTTTTTTCTTTTTCCAGGATTCTGTATATTGCCTGGATTCGATGACTCAAATAAGACCTCACATGCATGAAAATTCTTTTTTCTTCTATAACATTTGATTGGTAGTTTAGATAGATACGAAATTCCAGGTTGGAGTACTTTTTTTCCCCCATGTTTAAAAAGGCATTGCTTCAATGTCTTTAACTTCTAGTGTAGCTATTGATAAATCCAGTGTTGTCATGATTCTGATCTCTTTTGGTTTCCTGCCTCTTTTTTTGGTGGTACTATTGAGCTACACCCTCAGCCCTTCTCTACCTTTTTTCCCTTAATTTTTTTTTTTTTGTACTGGGGATTGAACTTGGGACCTTGTGCTTGCGAGGCAGGCACCGGAACCACTGAGCTAAATCCCCGGCCCTAAAACTTTCTTTTTTTGATACCGGGGATCAAGTTCACGTCCTTGCACTTGCAAGGCAGGGGACAGAACCACTGAGCTAAATCCCCAGTCCTTCCCTTAATTTTTTTTTTCCTTCCCTTAATTTTAATATGAGACAGAGTCTCCATAAATTGTCCAGATTGGCTTTGAACTTGTGATCTTCCTGCCTTAGCTTCCTGAGTAGCTGGGATTATATGTGTGTTCTGTCATGCCTGGCTTTCAGAATTTCTTTATTATAAAATTTCAGAATACCTAAGATAATATACTTTGAGATGATGTTTTCTTTTTTAAAAACATTACTTTAAAATATTTCAGAACTATAAAGAGGTATAAATAATAATAAACAGTTGGGTTCCTATCACCTAGTCCAAGAAATAAAACATCGCTAATGCAGTTGAACCCTTCTCTTCACCTCTGTTCAGTATGGAAATGCATATCTTAACATTTGGATAAATTTTCTATCATTATATATTTTTTTTCCAGTGCTGGTGATCAAACCCAGACCCTGGTGAATACTAGGCAAGCACTTTGCTACTAAGTTATATCTTCAGCCTTTCTTGTATTATTTCTTTTTTTATTTACTTCCTTCAGCTTCTTTTTTTTTCTTCCCTTTTTTGAGATAGGGTCTCACTATGTAGTCCAGGCTGGCCTTGAACTTGCTGTGTTATTCAGGCTGGCCCTGAACTCTCTTGATCCATTGGCCTTGATCTTCTTGCCTCAGCCTCCCAAGTATGTATTGGGATTTCAGGTGCTCTGTACCAAGCCCAGACTTCCCCTCAGCTCTTATTCCATTCTTTTTTCCTGAAATTCTTATTAGTTGTATGTTAGGCCTCCTGCTTCATCCTGTAAATTTCCCTCCTGCCCTCCCTTTCTTTTTTTGAGAAAAGGTTTATTTTTGCTCATGGTTTTAGAAGTTTCAGTCCATGGCTGCATGGTCCCATTGCTGTAAGCGTGAGGCGAGGCTGAACATACATCACGGTGGAGAGGATGCAGTGAAGCAAACCCAGTCGTTTCATGGCAGAGAGAGCCCTCTCTTTTTATTTTTTGGTTTTGTTTTTGAGGTAGGTCTTATTGTCCAGGCTGGTCTCAAACCCCTGGGCCCAAGTTCATTCTCTAATTTTCTTCTTTCTTTTCCTATTATATTTTTCTTTGTCCTTTTTTTGTTCTACTTTTTGGGAAGATTCAACTCTCTTCTTTTCTTGTTGTTGATGAATTTCAGCTATAATGTTTTGAATTTGAGAGATTAATCTTTGTTACTTTTTTTCATAATTGTTACTGTTTGTGGGAGCAATATCCGCTTATCTCTCTGACATACATTTAAAATTCTCTTTTATCCTCTTAAGTTTTTGTTTTGCTTAAGTTTTTTGTTTCATCTTGTTTATGTTAGATATTTTCCTAAATGTGATCTGGTAATCTGTTCATATTTAAACAAGAGTCAATATAGAACTGATTGTGAACACATAGATGGGACTTACCAGTTGACAGCTCAGTAGGGATGTGTCAGTGCAAGAAAAGCTCCAAATGTCAGTGTTTAGAGATCTAGAATTCTTGGAGCTGACTTATAGATGGAATTAAGTGATGAAGGAAGTTTTACTTAATCTCTTTTTTTCAGTGTAATGATTCTCTCTTATTCTTATACCATATACTTTGTGTTTGTAGTCATTTGGTTTACCTTCTCCAGAAATTAATAGGGAGGGAGGTAGAAAATAAATAGAGGGGTCTAACCAACTCTTGTACAGATTTTAAACTCATGTCCTTTGTTTTTAGTCCTATGCTTTGTTCCCTACTTTCTGTTACTTGACCTTTCCATGGTTCTGTAGCAGAGAGTCTATATAAGCACTCAGAATTCAAAGTTCTCAGTAAGATGATTCTCCAGTATACTTTTCAACTTTCAAAAATGTTTGATAACTTGTATTTTTCCTTCTATTTTTCACTTTCTAGGATTTATATAGGCTTTCTACCTTACTCCAGAAAATAAATCACATGGTCAGTCTATCATGTTTAACAATCCATTTTCACCCTGTCCTCTTTTTAAATTTTATTATTACATATGTTCAGTACATAATGATTACATTCATCATGAGTTGGTACATGTAACATAACATGTCTTAATTATACCTTTTTTATCAGATTCTTTCTAGTTGTATTAAAACATGGTCACACAAAAGAAGACTTAGATGGAAAGATATACTATACTTGGATAAGAAGAATCAATATTAAAATGACAATTTTCCTTAAATTATAAACTGAGCACAACCCTAATAAAATATAAATAGTTGCTTTTTTGGGGACAACCAAGCTGATTTTGAAGTTTATATGAAAAAATAAATAGGCATGAACATTTTGGAAACTTTAACTCTTCTGTCAACTTTGGAAAAAGTTATCCTAGTTTGCTGTGTTGAGTTGGCATTGTATAGAAATTAACAGCCATATTAGTCTAGAAATGTTAAATTTGATTTTTTTCCATTTGTGAAGGGGTAACACACTGTATTAAATATGTAAGGTCTTATCTGCATGGGTTTGATTACAGAAACTAATGAAGTATTCTCTAAATAATGAAAAAGAAAAAAAAAATAGGCATGAACGGCCAGAAAAGAAAAGCAATGGTGGGGGAGCACCCTACCAGATAATCAGTATATTCTAATTAAGTCAGTGTATACTAGTTTATGAACACTATTCAGTGAAGTAGAAAAGTAAATCTAGAAATAGACCCAAATTCATACATGCATTTGATATTATAAAAATGGTAATGTCTCAGATCATTAGTGGCAGAGAAAAGATAGTGTTGACATCTGGGTAACTCTTTATTTATTGTGTTATCACTATATACTAAATAAATTCCAAATGAGATCAAAGATTTAGATGTATAAAATAGGGATATAAAAGTAGAAGAATACATGGAAGATGTTCCTCATAGTTTTGAAATGGCAAAACTATGATCCTCCTCAAACAACACTGTAAACAAAGTCAAAAGACAAATTATGAAATTTACAACTCATATCACTGACAGGATTAATTTTCCTAAACTTTAAGCCCTAGAAATAGATAAGAGAAATATTAACACAATATAAAAATAAGGAATATGAGATTTCACAAAAAAATACAAACGGCCCTGTAGCCTCTAAAATGATACACAACTTCATTCTTAACAAAAATGAAATTAAAACTACCAATGTGCCAGTTTTTGCTTATTAAATTATTAAAAATCCAAAAGTTTGATAACATTCTATCAGTGAGGTTGTGGGGAAACATATTTCCTTACATTGCTGGTGGGAATGGAAGTTTATAAAACCTCTAGGAGATTTCTGTCTCTCCATCTTAAATATTCTTATTTGATCTTATTCCCTTTCTGTCAGTCTAATTTTCACAGCCAACTTCTTGAATTTTTCACACTTGCTGTCCCTATATGCTCATATCTCTTCAAACCATATAAATTTGGTTTCTGTCCTTGTAATTTCTTTGAATCATCTTTTGATGTCACCAGTGGTATTTTTTGTCTTTAATCTTATAGAAAGTCTTAGCAACATTTTTAAGCTCTTTTTGAAATGTTTTCTTCTTAGCTTTTCTGATCACTTGACCATTCCTTTACATTCTCTTTGGTCTGTATTCCTTTCCTTTTGGGTTTTTAAATAGACTCTTTCTCTTTGAGCTGTCTCTATATTTTCTCTAGTCAGATTTCTTTTAAGTCTGATGTTTCAATTACTGCCAAGGACTGGCATTTATATCCTGTCTAGACCTCTTCTGTTTCCAGACCCAAGTTGCCTACTGTTCTCTTTTTAAGTTTATGTAATTCTACTCTTCTGTGGTAAGATGTTGAGCCCATTTTCTGTTGCTATAACAAAATACCAGAGTTTGGGTACTTTATAAAGAAAAGAGGCTTATTTGCTCATAGTTCTGGAGGTTCAAGTGCATGGCACTGACACCTTCTCAGCTCCATGGGTCTCATGGTGGATGGTGCTAAAATGGTGTGTATGAGAGTGGCAGGGGCCGACACAGAAGAGGAATTCAGAGGATGTGCAAAGCTCCCTTATAACAACTCATTCTCTAGGGAGTTGTGTCCTGTGAGCACCATGGTAAGTAATCTTCCCTAAGAAGCCCCCAGTGACCTAATTATACCTTCCACTAAGCTCCACCTTTTAAAGGTTCCACGATCCCTAAGCATTACTGTACTAGGACCAAGCTTTCAGCACACAAGCTTTTAGGGGACAAACCACAGAAGGCTTCAAGAATTTGAAGACTGTTTTGTACCCCCTTTTAATCTTTTCAAATTAAATACTTTTGACTTGCTTTTAATTTCCTGTACTTTTCCTTCAATTTGTATCATTTATAAGTCCTTCATCTTAATTATTCTCTTTTGAGTGTGCTGTAGTTATAGGGTTTTTTTTTTTCCTTTTTGCCTACATCAGGAGATAATACCACACATGTCATCTGTGCAATGCAGAGTATTTCTCCCTTAGAACAAAATATTGAAGATATAAGCAAAAACCACCCTAACAAAGGTCCCACATGTACGGTTAGGAAAAACAGAAAACTGCTGGTAATGAGGCTCAGTGGTATAGTGCTTTCTTAGCATGTACAAGGCCCTGGATTCAATCTCCAGTACCAAAAATAGAAGAGAAAAGAAAAACTTTCACAAGACAGCCTAGTGTTATAAGACTTTGTTCTGTGGTGTCATCCAGGATTGTAGTTAGTTTCCTTCTGTCTTTTAAGTTTGGTCATTTCTTCTGGTGTTGATAGGTGCATGGTTGAGCCTGGCTGTCCCTCACTGTTGCACCTGGAAAAGAGAGAAAGTAGAGGGCAGACCTTTTCCTTATAAAGACATCCTGTGGAAACTGCATATTAACTTATGGTTACATCCTGTTGGCAAGAACTTAGTCATAGGCTACCCCTAGCTGACAGGGAGCCTAGCTCATTGGCCATACGCCCAGGAAATTTTCTCACAAAAAAGGAAGGGATGAAATACTTAGGGATAATTAGTAGTTTGCTTGTTTGGCATAGTTTCACATAGTTGGTGCATGTTGAATTTGTGGTTGTAAAATGCTCTTCATCTTCTGACTTGTGTTGCTAATTATTTAAATACATCACAAACATTTCCATTTATCAAAAATTTTAATGGCATGACAGATGCAGCTCTGTTCCATGATGTCATCCAGGATCCTGGTTTCCTTCTGTCGTTTAAATTTTGCCAAAATCAGTAGCTTTTCTTCTTCTTTTTCCCCCAGAGTTTAATGGTTGGTTACTTTATTTCTAGCCTCAGCATTTGTGAATTCAATAAACATTTATTACCACACATTAGGCACTTTGTATTATAGAAACACAATAGTGAACAATACAAATATTACATTTCACAGTTCACAGTCAGTTATATTGTCTGATTTCTTTTGTTAGTAGTTTAAATTGGGGGTTGGTAAAGTTTTCCTACAAAGGACCTGAGTGTAAATATTTTGGACTCGGAGGGCCATATCATCTCTATCACAAATACTACTTAGGGCAGGGGATTTAGCTCAGTGGTTCTGCCGCCTGCCTCGCAAGCACAAGGTCCTGAGTTTGATCTCCGGTACCCAAAAAACCAAAAAAAAAAAAACCCCAAAAATCAAATACTACTTAAACTCTGCCACTGTAGTATGAATTATTATGGGTTTTTTTTTTGGTACTGAGGATCGAACTCGGGACCTTGTGCTTGCAAGGCAGGTGGCGGAACCTCTGAGCTAAATCCCCAGCCCTCACTGTAGTATGAATTAATGGGGATTTCCAGTAAAATTCTGACAGTCCTAAGTTTGGTTTGTGGGTTTTAGTTTGCCAGCCCCTTGTCTAAATTAATAGCATGTTTCCTTTATCAGTTGTCAACTTCTTTTAACCTAGTTCTTTAATAAAAATACATTTTATTGGGGGAAATTACTGCCTTTCTAGTGTTTTGTTTTGTTTTGAACAGTCCTTATGGTCTCAACTATTTATTGAAATGTTATTCTTATATCATCATCACCATCATCATCATCATCATCATCATCATCATCATATTGGGGAATACTGCAGGATCTTTGCACTCAGCCCTTTTTAATTTTTTGAGACAAGTCTTGCTGAGTCACTAAATTGCCCAAGCTGGACATCTTCTTGCTTCAGTCTCCCAGAATGCTGGGATTACACAGGGTTATATGCCACCATGCCTGGTACATTATTTTGTTTGTTCCCTCTATTCTCTCTCTCTCCAGGATCTTGCTGTGTTTCCTAGGCTGGTCTCACACGATCCTTCATTTTTATCCTCTTGTAGGTGGGACTGCAGGTGTACCACTGCACCCAGCTCTTTCACGGTTTCTTTAGCAGACTCTCTTCTCAGATACCCATTTTTCCTTCATTACAGCTCTTAATCCTTTGTGTTTTTTTCCTCACATCTTAGTCACTTTAAAAATGATACTTTGTACATAATCCAAGTTTATGCTCTGGTTCTTCCTTTTTTAGATCAAGTGATAACCCCAAATTGAACTTGTCTAAAACCTATACATTTAATGTACTGTACTTAATTTTTTTGTGTTTGAAACCATGTTTTTATTTTTTCTTTGGTCTGTAATCCATGTTTAACTATAAGTGGAGGTTATTAAAAAAAGGTACATAATATACATGAAAAGTTGTAGAGGCAGCATAGATTACTTAGGATGTGGAAATACATATTTAGAATATGGCAAATGTGGCATTTCTTTTAGAATAATAGATCAAGAGGGACTTTGTCAGCCACCAAGAGGATTTTCAGCCTGATATTGTAGGTAATATGTAGCTACCAGAGAATTTTAAAAGAAGAGGGTCGAAAGGCAAAATGTCTTCCAGAAGAGTCAAGTATGAGAATCCTGAAGCAAGGATATTAGTTAAGAGGGTTTTGAAATTAGGTGAGAAATGACTATTCCTGAATTAAGGGATTGGTGTGGCAGATTTAGAAGATAGATTTTGATACTTAAAAGATTAGGAAGAAGAACTTGTAAATTCCTAATTTGGGAACTGAGAAAATGATTGTCATTAGCTGGTGAAGCAGATACAGAAGGGGGAGAATATGGTTTCTGGGTGGAAGGGAATTTTATACGAAAATGAGTTCAGTTTTATAGGTACTGCATTTGAGGCTGTCTGTGGGTTGTATATAAGAGGCAGTTGTATATAAAGGTCTGACTCTGAGGAACATTTTTAATTTAGGGAAATGGATATGGAATATAGCAGGGTACAGGTGGTAGTCAAATCTGTATTTTAATTGAAACCACCCACAGATTGAATGAGAAAATAGGCCAACCCTAATAATCACATTTTGGAGAGAAAGACATCAGGAAGGGAAGTCAAGAAAATGGATGACTGAGAAATATCCCTTGGATTTGGCTGGGAGGAGGTCATTAGTGATTTGTTTCAGGGGACTGGTCTGGATAGGAACCTCATTGTGATCACGTGAAAGTGAGTAAAAGATGAGGTGGTAGAGACAGAAAGTAGAGACAGATATTAGAGTAGGATTCTGATGTGGAAGTGATTCAGAATATCAGAGTATTTTTGATGACAAGTTATAGGATATTGAATTTAAAAATGGGTTTAAGTGATGAAAGGGATTTCTTGGCTCATCAAATGGAAAAGTCCAGAGAGGTAGGATTGATGGTTAGAATGGCTTGGGGTTTCCAGGCAGGGGTGGTATAAGGACTAGAGAGTGTGAATGTGTCTATTAGAGGAATAAACTTGGAGGTCTAGGCTAGGAATAAACGCTGGTAAAGTCAACTCTCAGAGGTCTAATTTAACACAAAGGACTGAAAACAGGAAGGTTGTTTTCTAGTAAGGCCTCTCTCTAGATATTATACATTGAATGTTTTATAATCCTAGTGTTTTGTTGTAGGTACATTTATTTACTTGATGGCTCTTCTGGCACTAAGAAAAAATAAAACATTAATTTTTGTCACTCTGAATACCACACTGTTATTCATACAAAAGTGTGAACCTGAAGATACTTATGAGACACTTGCATTGTGTATAGATGAGAATAAAACTTGTTGACCTTGACAAAAATTATGAGGTCAAAAAAGTTTCCTATCTTTTGTAGCCATTTTCACCCTCTCTTTTCTTCTTTCCCTCCTTCTTTTAGGTTTAATTTCTTTTTCTTTCCAGATAGGAAAAGATGCTTTATTATATTTATGTCACATATTAATTGTCCTAGGTAGCTGCACTGTTAAAGTTCTTTTAAGTTCAGTGGTGTTGACTTTGGTAGTATTTGAATTAGGTAGATTTGGAATAGTGTGACAAAAATATTAATTTAAAGCAGTGTGAATTTCTTCAAATAATAACTCATTAAAAGTCTAATAATTTAAAAGCTTGCAGGATAAATACATTGAAAAGCACCATATGGTTATACACTTTATAAGGATAAGTCAAATTTTGGAGCTTTAAATTATAATAGATCTTGAAGGTATTCTTTTCATGGAATGCCACTGCCCTGCATGGATTGAAGGAATTTCTGATAACGGGAAATACTTGGGGAGATGTTTAGGGGAAATTGATCTTTCTTATTACCCCTGAAAGCATATAATGCATAGAACTGGTATTAAAGGTTAAATTTGCTTTAGTCATTTTAGGGTACTTGGCTTAAGTTAAAATGATGATTAGAAAAGATTTCTTTTTTTTTCCTATCCCTTATTCCTATACGCCATGATGTTCCTCTTTCCCATGCTGCATACCCTGGCTTTTTATAGGGTGATAATCACACAGACCTACTGAAGGCAGTACAACAAATATATACAAGAGAAGTGCTGGGGATGTAGATCAGTGGTAGAGCACCTACCTTTCCTGAGTCATTGCTGCTTAAAGCCATGTAAAGTGAATCTTAGGGGAAGAATTTATAAGAAGTTAAGAAATCTCCACTATATGACAACTAGATCTAAGACCCTCTTTTCTGTGTACTTGCACAGGTGGTGTTAAATTTTAAAATAGTTGATTCTAAAAATGCTGCTGAAGAACTAATAGTGAAGAGTTATGTGAAAAAAACACTACTGAATGATCATTTATATAAACTGCTTTCTATTAAGGCAAAATAGGTGGCATTTAGAACAATAAGAATTGATTCTTAAAATTGCTTTTGAATATTCAGTAGAGACTTACCTTGTGAAAGTACAGCCATACGTTAGACTTTCCAATTTAATTCGAATCTTAACTGAAGTAGAAAATGCTAGGTACCTGATCTGAGGTTGAAATCCTGGTTAGAATCTAGCGTTTTAAATCTCATCCATAGTAGTCCATCTCTGCCCTTTGGAAAAATTCATTCTAGAAGACTTCTTTTTTTTTTTTTTTTTTTTTTTGGTACCAGGGATTGATCTCAGGACCTTGCACTTGTGAGGCAGGCGCGGTGCCACTGAGCTAAATCCCCAGCCTGGAAAAATTATTCTAAATTGGAAGTTGGATGAAATAACATATATGAAATGATTAGAGGAATAATACTGGATTATATGGAATCATTTAGTAGATCTCATTTGAATGCTAGATAGGCTGCTCTGGCCTACAGATATATAGGGTATCATAAATTCAGTAGAAAGTTGGTACAAGTTGAGCATCTGTAATACTCAAAAGTTTTTTGATTTTGAATTTTTGTATTAGAGATACCTAACTAGTAAAGTCTATGCAGAGTTTTCTAAATTTGAAAAAAATAAAAATTGGAAATATTTCTGGTCCCAAGAAGTTCTCAACCTGTAAAAACAGAATGTATGTGTATTTGCAGGTAACATTATACTTCAGAAAAGGGAAAGATAATGGAAGGTGACCAGGAATACTGCTGGGAAAAAAGTCTTGACCTGATCTTTGAAAAATGGTTAAGATTTGGGTTAACAGAAAAGAGGACATTCCATGTTGCACAGATTTGAGTGAAAAATGTCTTTGGAGATACAAATATGCTTGGTGTAAGTTGAACAGAGGAAAAGATCAGCTGGCTTCAAGTGAAGGCTCTTATATGGAAGTAATGAGAGATTGAATTTGATAAAAAATCAGGTTGCTATCTGGCCTGAAGTAAATACTTTCAAGCTGGGAGTATACAATGAGTATGGAAGATTTATTGGACTGTGGTCTTTTTTTTCCCTTCCTACCCAGCCACTGTTTATTTAGTCTGCTTTTTTCCCCCAGATAAAGATCACATTAAAAAGTATTTTCAGAGTTTGACAATCATCATTCTTAGGGAAGTTTATCTTAATATCTTCAGTATTTTGGAACTCTAGGCTAACTTGCACATTGAAATTTCTATTTGTGGCACATATACTAATAGATGTGTCAATGTCTTGGGGTGCCTCTCTGTAAGTGTTAATTTTATCCAAGGTACTGATGATTGAGTTCTTAGTATGTAGAAGAAATAGTAATATTGAAAACAATACCCTATTTGCATTCTTTAATTATAGTACACTTTAGTCCCTTTTTCCTGCCTCTTTCATTTTATCTTAGGTCAACAGGACATACTGTTGTGGTACCTACCGAGCAGGTCCAATGCGGCAGATAAGTCTTGTTGGAGCAGTAGATGAAGAAGTTGGTGATTATTTCCCAGAGTTCCTTGATATGTTAGAAGAATCACCATTTCTGAAAGTGAGTGTTGATTTAGATTTTTCAATTTCTGATCATTATTTAGACGAACATTTCATACTAAAATGTTAGCTAACTTTCCCTGTTAAAATTCTATGCAATGTTTTGAAAAGAAATGTTAAGAAAAATATTGATACAAATTACTACATTAATATATTTACTATAAATTACAATCCAATATGGCATTTTTTTCTTTACATTCACATGTAAAAAATTTTTTTAGAACTTTTATTGGGATGGGGGGAGGGTTTAATTTATAAATAAACATTTTAAAAAATACGATCTAACTTCTAGATGACTCTGCCCTGGGGCACACTTTCCAGCCTCCAACTGCAATGTAGGTCCCAGAGTGATGATGGGCCTATAATGTGGGTAAGGCCAGGAGAACAGATGATCCCTACAGCAGATATGCCAAAGTCACCCTTCAAAAGACGAAGGTAAGCATTTTTTTTTTCCTAAAATACACAAAACCACTTTTTTTAGTTGGTTGCTTATAAAAATGATTGCAGCATGGGCACAGTTTGAAAAACACTTGTCTAGATTATTTGAAGGCTTTCCTTATGTAAATCTTCTAGTTGTCAGTTCCTCAGTCAAGATCACTTACTGTAGAGTCATCAGGGTGAGACATTGTCCTGAAAACCAAATTTAACCTTTATTTCTTTTCTTAAAGCCTGAGTCCCAACTGCTTGCAGGATAAAAGTTCAGATTCTTGGCGGGGATTTAGCTCAGTGGTTCTGCCGCCTGCCTTGCCAAGCACAAGGTTCTGAGTTTGATCCCCGGTACCAAAAAAAAAAAAAAAATTCAAATTCTCTGGTGTGGTCTATAAAAATCTTTCATAACCGAGCCCCAATAGTACTTCTGTGTCTGCTTCTAGTCCTTTCTAGCCATACACATTTTCCCAAAGCATAATCTTTTATTATTATTTTTATTTTTGTGCTCTGCTTTTTACTAAAAATTGAATTCTCCTCACCCATCTTCCCCTAGCAAACTCCTAGTAAATTTTCAGAACTTATCATGTACATCACTTTCTTTTTGAAGCTTTTCTTTGTTCTGTTAGACCACTGATGATGAACCTTTTAGAGAGGAGTGCCCAAACTGCGACCCGAACCCACTTATTTATTGCAAAGTACCAATTCTGCAATTGAATCTGAATACTGAGGTTTTCGTTTAGCAAAAACAACGCCTACATTAACGTGTTTCATCTTAAAAAAAACACATATGCCATAGGTTCACCACCACTGCCTTAGACAATTGGTTTCTTCTCTGTGATCTGTTTATATGTTTTTATTTGTTACTGAATTTTAATCTCCTTGAGTATGAGGACTGTTTTATTCATCTTTATCTTCATAACACAATAGGTAACCAGGACTGGCTGAATGCAACTCATAATGTGCTGTGGTTCAGAGCTTTGGCAGTTTGTATTGTGATATACAAGGGTTGATTTAAAAATATGATGAGTGTTTAAATTTTAAAAATTTATCACGGTAAAAGATACTTTGCTATTATTCTCCCTCAAAATACTCCCCTTGCTTCATATGTACTTACTCCGTCATTCTTGCTAGTTTCTGAAACATTTCTGGAAGTCCTCTTTCTGAGTGTCTTTTTAAAGTGTGATAAAAAATATGTAAAAAGCTGTTTGTAAGTGCCATCTAACAGAAAGCCCCATGAAAACATTACAATGTGTCCTCATCCACCTTATTCACTGGATCTGGTACCATTTAGCTTCTGGCTTTTTCCCAAAGGCAAAATGACCATTAAAGGCAAATATTTTGAATCAATTCAGGACATCAGGAAAGCCAAGACAGTGCAACTAACCACAAGAAAAAGGACTTCTAAAACTGCTTCAGAAAATGGCAAGAAGGATGGGATAAAAGTGTTTAAAGTGAGAGGGATTGAGGGGGATTCATGGCCATATGTCTTTTAGTGTAATAAATTTTTTAAAAACACTATTTTTCAATCATACCTCATTTTTTTGTCTCATGCATATGAAATGCAGATAAACTCACTAGTATTTTCAAAATTTTTATTTAATGAGATTGAAAGTGACTTATATAATTTTTTTCTGCTACTGGGGAACTCAGGACCTTGCACTTGAGAGGCAGGTGTGGTGCCACTGAGCTAAATCCCCAGCCCTGACTTATAAATTTAAGCTACAGAAATAGCAAGTCAAAACAAGTACCCGAAAGTGCATTTTAATTAACTAGTCTAAACCTTAACTTAAAACTTACAGGAGAATGGCTTCACCTAAGTATAGAATAACATTAGGTACTTAAGATGATACATGAAAATACTTATTGAAAACTATATATGTATGAATGCAAGTAGTAGTGTAGTAAAACCTACAGTTAATTAAAACTTCTACACATTCCTAGACCACAGCAGTTTTGTACATGATGATAATGCAGTTTGAAATTCTGCTAAATTCTTAAGTACTATGTGCATTTTTATTGTATATTTCTGAAAAAGAAATGACCATTTTTTGTTGAGTATTATAAACTTAGAAAAAGATAATAGAAAAGATTAAATAGCCAAAAAACCAGCCATAATCCCATCTATTTATGCATTAACCAAATTTTAGTCCATTTATACTCATTATTAATTCTTTCTTAAAAAACGAACTTATTCTTTACATTATGTGTACATTAAAAGTTGAGAGTTTTTTTCCCCCTTAGGGTAATGTATTAAGGGAGCTTCTAAATGACTAAGTAGTTTCACTGTATGGTTGTATTAAGATTTAACTAATTCTTCTGTGTAAATTGTTTCTAGTTTTTTAGTCCAAACAGTATTTGGACAAACATTAATCTGAAATGCCATCAAATTTTACTTCTGTTGGGATTAAGTATTCTTAAGTGAGGCATTCAAAAGCACTTTGTTTGTTTGTTTGGTACCGGGGGATTGAACTTGGGACCTTGGACCTTGCGCTTCCAAAAGCACTTTGAATTAGAGTAATGAATTATCATAAATACAGATTAACATAAATACAGATGTTATCTTTTTGTGTTAAAAGTTCTTGTTACTGAAGATGGTGGAATTGATGTGAGAATCTGTCCAGTTATCAAGGGCCCTGCTGTTGAAGATGATCTTTGGATTTATGAATTCTTAAAAAAACAGACATGTAGGTTAAAAAAATTAAATAGTACAGTAGGGCTGATAAGGAAAAATCCTGCCTATCTTTCCCTCCCAGAAACAAACATTTTTTCTACAGCAAAACCCATTTGTTTATAATGCTTTTTTATTGCTTGAAATGCTTTGTCACGGTGTTGATTTCTTGGTATGCTAGGTGAGTATTCTATCCTCTTACTATATTCTGAATAGTTAGATGGTCCTTAGTACCCTCTTCCTCCTAACTGCACTTAAACACTGTTGAGGTTAATTCATATTTTGTTTTAATACCACAATTCTTTTTGTTTATTTGTTCTTTTTTTTTGGTTTTTTTGAAGCAAAGTCTCACTGTGTAGTTACTATGTAGCCTAAGGCTGGCCTTGAACTTGAGGTGGTCCTCCTGGCTCAGCCTCCCAAGTGCTGGTATTACAGGTGTGTGCCACCACTCCTGGCCCACAGTTAGGTCTTAAATGTTTTGTCATAGGTAGATTCTAAAACTGGAAAGCCAGTAAATAGCATGCATAATATTAGAGTTAAGTATATTTACTGCAGACCCAAGTAGTAGGCTAAAAACTCATATTTTAAGGTTATAGTGTCACTTATAGGAAGAATATAAAGAATGATCTTTCACCTAGGTATTCAGAATCATCATCGCTTCTCGGCCTTTTGTCTGAGATCCAAGTGTGGTATTCAGTATCATTCTACATTTTAGTTTTGTATTTACATTATCGTTTAGAAGTATTGTTCTGTTTTGCCTACAGTTTCTGATTACCCTTTGTTGAGGGAGTTACACACTTTTCTTGACTGTATCCTAAATATCTTCTAGTGTCATTGCTTAAAATAGATTACCTTGGCAAAGAGTATTGAAGAATATATGGAACAGACCCAAATTGCCAGGGCAGAAGTGTTGCATCAGGCGGAAAGCCAATTTTGAAAAGATGAAAAGTGGAAAGAACTTAAGTGACTTTGAGGTGAAGATACATGGATGCTACCTGATATGAATGAGGGAATTGAACAGTTCTTGAAGGAATGTTCTCCGAAGAAAGAAGACAAGCATTCAAAAAAAGTAAAGAAAGAGAAGAAAAAAAATCAAGAAACAAATATGAAAAAAAGAATCAGCTGATAGTTTATCTCCTCAGGAGTATAAGATGGTGGATTAAGCTAGCTAAGGAAATCTTACCAAATAATGAAGGAACAAGGTGAAAAACAAAATAGAAAATTTGAGGACATTGTAGGTGAAAGATTTGAGTCCAGAGGATGAATCCATGCATGTCCTGAGTGTTGATGAACAAGTTGGGAGCCAAGATGATTAAGGGAAAAATGATGGAGAATATTGAACTGGCTGAACTTAAAGCCAATTTGAAAAGGCTGATAAATTAAAAGAATCTGTAGCACAAATATCAAAAACAACAGGAATAGGGGAGAATGCAGACCATCAAGAAGGGGTCCTTGTCAGAACAGATGAGTCTGAAGAGTGGCCTGTGAACACGCTAGGACCTCTGGAATAAACACAGGGTTTCTACCCATGAGGAAAAACAAAGAATCAGATGCTTTCATGATGATGATCATCTAAGCCTAAATGATTTAGTAAAAAATGAAAAGATGAGAACATCAGAAAATCAAAATAAACTTTTTATGAGAATGACATCTTAAGGTTTTTTTTTTGGTACTGGGGATCGAACTCAGGACCTTGTGCTTGCGAGGCAGGTGGCAGAACCACTGAGCTAAACCCCTGGCCCAAGTGGCATCTAAGTTTATGGGAAAAATACATGGAGACTCTTATACTCTGGATGACATGTTTGTACCCAAAACAGGTGAGAGAAAACATCTTGGTGAAGAGGAACAGAACCAGAGGAAACAGGCTATTGCTGAGCACCAGCATCTTGCTGCACAAGTGGAAAAATGTATTGTTTTGACAAGTCTCAATTTCCCAAGCACCTTATTGTTGCAATGGGTGTTAAGGTTTATTTATGTCTACCCAACTTCCAGTGTCTTTCTGAGGGGCATTGCTTGATAGTTCCTTTGCAGCATCATCAAGCCGCTACCTAACTGGATGAAGACATCTGAGAAGAAATTCAGATGTTTAGGATATCATTAGTAAAGATATGTGAAGATAAAGGGTTAGACTGCATCTTTTTAGAAACTAATATGAGCATGAAGAAACAGTATCACATGGTTAATGAATATATTCCTCTCCAAAAGAAGTGGGTGACATGGCTCCTATCTATTTTAAGAAAGCCATAATGCGATCTCATGAAGAGTAGTCCATGAACAAGAAGTTGATTGATCTTTCTTCAGAAGACATCAGAAAGTCTGTACCCAGAGTCTTACCATGCTGGGAATCACATGCTTCTTTCTTTCTTTTTTTTTTAAAAATTGTATTGGTACATTTTAGGTATACAATATAATGACATTCATCATTGGAAATTTGCACCTTTACATAATCTCTCTTGGTTCTTATTTTTTCCCCCTTCCCCTGCCCTCCCTTCAACCCCTCCATCTCTCCCTATTTACAAAGACTTTGTTTTCATTTTCTCACATTAATTCCATTCCCTTCTTTCCTTTCCCCTGCCCCTCCCACACATGCTTCTTTCTTACTACACCTTTTCCCTACTAACCTTCCCAGTGACTAGTGACCACTGTTCTGCTCTATACTGTGAGATCAACTTTTTTAGCTTCCATTTAAGCACATCAGTCCTTTACATGAAAATCTTTTGGAGCTTTGTGTTCTCCTACTTCAGTGAGGAAAGTATATTTCACAGTTATCAACCTAGATTTTCTCATTTAATGCTTTCTATCATTAACCTGTCATTATGGTTATCCTTTAGATTTATTTCCTTCCTTTGCTTGAGCATATTCCCAAGTAATATTCTAGAAAAGGAAGGTATTTTGAGTCTTTTTATGTCTGAAAGTTTCTTTCTTTGACATTAGGTGTGTCATTATACCTTAGTTGGAATCCAGAGGCTTTATTTTCCTTTAGCATTATTTTAATGACTTCTGTCATCTAATATTACTTCTGAGAATTTTTAATCCAGTGTAATTTTTGTTCTTTTGTATGTAATCATTTTTCCTCCTTTTTTGAAAGATTATAGCATCCTCTGCCATAAGCAGTCTGAAATTTCACAGTATGTCTTGGTTTGGGTCTTTAACTTTTTTTCTGCAGAGTTCATTGAATAGGTCTACTTCCTTTTTTGGCTGCTGATCCCTTTTTCTATATTCTAGGGCCCTATAGCTTTTTTTTTGCTCAGTTTTATTAGTCTAAGATGTGTAATTTTCAATCATGATGAAGTTTGTTGATGTTGCTATTTACTAATTTATTCCTTTTATTTTTTCTTATTTTACTATCATTGTTAGATGGTTATATGTAGAAATTTGGGGGCACTTATAAAAGCAGAATATAATAAACTGTCATGCCTTCAGTATCAACAGTTAGCTCATGATCAATTCTATTTCACCTGTATTCCCTCCATCCTTTCTAATCAGTCCTGCTCCCAGTAAGCCTTTTACTTTCATTTTAATGCAGAAGGAGGGTACATGGATGCTCAGTTCTCTTTCTTGAATCATAGGACTAGTAGGATATTTTGAGAGCTCAAAATGAGAGTGACTGAGGTGAGGGTAAAGAAGCAAACAGCCTCAAACTTTGAATTATACTTTACGTTGCTAGACAACCAGATGCTTTATATTTTAACACTATATTTGAGTGTAATCAAGGATGTAACTTCTACTTTATCTTGATCTACAGGGAAAGGAAACAAATCATATTACTCATTACGATATGGTATGTCAAGTGCTAATGAGCCTAACCATTGTATTCTCAGCTGTCATCTTATTTAAATCTGATACTTCAGCAGACTTTTTTTTATCTTGTTGCTGTTAAATTTAAAATTTTTTTTTCATAACTTCATTGCTTTCCTTTTGTTTTACAACTAAACCAACTCTAGATCAATGAATGAAATTAAAAATCTCCAGTACCTACCTCGGACCAGTGAACCCCGTGAAGTCCTCTTTGAAGATAGGACAAGAGCTCATGCTGATCATGTAGGTCAGGGGTTTGACTGGCAGAGTACGGCTGCTGTTGGGGTTTTGAAAGCTGTACAGTTTGGTGAATGGTAAGTAAGTGGATGTCAGCTGTGAGGTTGGTTAGTGTTGTCTAGGGAAATACAGACTTTACTTAAAAGATTGGGGGGGCCGGGGATTTAGCTCAGTGGTTTTGCCTCCTGCGCAAGCGCAAGGATCCGAGTTCGAGCCCCGGTACCAAAAAAAAAAGGTTGGGGGCCAATTTTTAAATTGTAGTAAAATAATCGTGGAGGTTACTCTCTTAATTTTTTTCATTTCTGCTACAAAAAGCTCAACACCCAAAGTTAAAGGAGGAAAGGTTAATTTTGGCTTACAGTTTGTAGAGGTTTCAATCCGTAATTGGTTGGGTCCAAGGCAGGGTGGCATGGCAGAGAGGCATCACAAAAGAGAAATGGTTTGTGGTGAGCAGAAGACAAATAGTAGGAGGTTCCCAGTTACAAGTGACAATAGTACAATAGCAGCTTCTTTGTGTCCCTTTATATTCTATCTAGTCTACCCACCCGTAGGGCAGGTAGCGCTCAAACCCAGAACTATGCCAAACTAATCAGTGGACTAATTTAGTAATCATACCCTTAATCCCAGCATCACACATTCTAGATCCAGCCACCTCTGAAAAGCCCCAACTATGACCGCATGAAGCTTTGGGGGCGGACGTCTAGATACAAACCATAACAGTTACCATTTTAAACATTTAAAAAATGTACATTCATTAATGTTAAGTATAATCACATTGTTGTGGAACAAGTCTCCAGAACTTTTCAGTCTTGCAAAACTAAAGCTCTATATTTAAGAATTATTCCCTTTTCCCCCCTCATGCCTAAACTCTGCTAACCATCATTGTATTTTGTTTATTTGAATTTAACTGTTTTTGCTATCATATAAGTAGAATCATAAAGTATTTGTCTTTTTGTAATTAGCTTATTTTTCTTACTAAAAGTACTCAGGGTTAATCCATTGATGTACCAAGTATTTGAATCTCCCTTTTTGAAAAAGGCTGTGTACCAACTATATATATCGGGTGTGTGTGTATATAACATTTTGTCCATTTATGGATACTTGCTTGCTTCCACCTTATGTCTGTTGTGAACCAATAGCTAACTAGCTTCCAAATATCTCTTCATGTCCCTGCTTTCAGTTTTTTGAGGTATATATCCAGAAGTGGTATTGGATCATATGGTGATTCTCTTTTAATGTCTCAAGGAACTGCTTTCCATAGTGGCTGCACCAACCACGTTACATTCAGTTGGAGCCCAATTTTAATAAAGTTCAGGACATAGAGGTGCAAACTGTTGGGAAAACTGCAAATGTTATTTAGAATAAAACTTTTTTTTGGCCATTGTTTTTGAAATTTTGCAGAGCTAATCTGATTTTTATGTTTTCTTTAAAAGTAGATTTATTGGTTTGTTTCTGTTTTTTGGAAATTGATTAAAGTATCAAGTGTATACTTTGTCTTTAGAAGATCTGTATTCTGCTTGTTTGTTAGTAGTAGGATTTCCAGGAAATGGAGAACTGAAATTTGTCATCATTTTTTATAGTGAATGCTTGGTCCTATAACTTAATTTTGTTAATATTAGGAGTGACCAACCTCGCATAACCAAAGATGTGATTTGTTTTCATGCTGAGGATTTTGCTGATGTTGTACAGAGACTTCAATTAGACCTTCATGAACCTCCTGTTTCCCAGGTAATGACTCTTGCTTTTTAATTACCCTTTGTATTAGATATTAGAAATAAGTGTCTGTACCCATTTTATTTTGCATTTTATCCTATAACTGGATACATGGTTATAGAATGTAATTTTATTTTTATTAAAGGCTGTGTGAATGTAGAATGTCAGAAATCACTAAAACAGAGCTTCTCAAGCAGAATGCTTGACATTACTTTAATCTATGGGATGCCAGGTGGGCCTCAGATAGTAAAGAAGGTTCAGGGTTGCTCAGTTCTGGCCATGAGCAGTCTCACTTGTTAACCTCATTGTGCTGTGGGCCCTCAACTGCACGAGTTTGAGACATTGAAGGAGAAGATAAAATATTAACCATTACGTGTGCCAAAGAATAATGATATTTAGCTGCACTTCCAGGTACTTACTTAAATGATTCTGTAGGCCATCTGACTTTACCCTGTCCTTTGTTTTGACTAGAGAGGAAAATATGCAGGAGAATGTTTCCCAACAGGACACTTTAGAAAGTTATATCTCATTTAGTACTGTTTGACTTTGATTGTTATAACACATTTTATCCCTACTGTTTTGTTGTGCTAATTATAATATTTTGACTAAATTATTATACATTTTAAAGTCTTATGCAACTTTTTGTCTTTTCTTTAGTGTGTACAGTGGGTGGATGAAGCTAAACTAAACCAAATGAGGCGAGAAGGCATTCGTTATGCTAGAATTCAGCTATGTGACAATGATATCTACTTCATCCCTAGAAATGTTATTCATCAGTTCAAAACAGTGTCAGCAGTGTGCAGCTTAGCCTGGCACATAAGACTCAAACAGTACCACCCTGTTGTGGAAGCAACTCAGAACACAGAAAGCAATTCTAACATGGATTGTGATTTAACTGGAAAGCGAGAATTAGAAGTTGACTCGCAATGTGTGAGGGTAAAAACTGAATCTGAGGACACATGCACAGAAATGCAGCTTTTGACAACTGCTTCGTCGTCCTTCTCACCTTCATCAGAACTTCATCATCTTCAGCAAGATCAGAAGACTCAGCCTATTCCAGTTTTGAAGGTGGAGAATAGACTGGACTCAGACCAGCAACACAATCTGCAGGAACATGCAAGCAGTCCTGTGTGAGGTGTACATATTCAAACACATTTTTTAACTTTTTAAAATTTTGATGTGAAGTTATATAGTTTTATAACTGGCTTAAGTTAAGTTTTATTGGAGAAATCTTGCCTATAATTCTATAAAGAGAAATGACATTCCACAAATGTCAAGCATATCTTTTTTACACAGATTATGCAAAATTAAGAGTCATATCTTATCCCGTTAGTACAGTATGTAATAGTGGGTCTGCTGCTATTTTCTGTTTTAAGGTGTGAGGTAACAATTCAATCTCTTCAAGTCAAAATGAGAATTCTCTGGAATAACAGATTCTTATTTGTTACATCATTCACTTTGCTTAATTTTATTTTACCTTGTCTCTTGCCCTATTTGCTATTTTTACGATAGAAGTCAGATTTACGGTTTAGTATTTGTGTCTTTGTGGCACATATTCAGTTTCCTCAGTAAAAAATAGCATAGATTGCAAGAAAGAGTTCTTGCATTTGTTTTTTTTTTTTTTTTTTTTTGGTACCAGTGATCAAACTCGGGTCCTCGTGCTTGCGCAGCAGGCGGTGAAACCACTGAGCTAAATCCCCGGCCCTTATTCTTTTTTTTTTTTTGATACCGGGGATCGAACTCAGGTCTTTGTGCTTGCCCAGCGGCGGCGAAACCACTGAGCTAAATCCCTTGGCAGTTCTTGCATTTGGTACATGGGCAAGTAAGTTATTTAGTCCAGCCATAAGGAACAAGTAGTTTCTAAGGAAAATTCAGTGGCTCTCTGTTTTCTTAACAAAAGAGAAAGCACAGCACTTTCTGATCCAAACTGTCTTTTTTTTGGATATCTGTTATTTAATGCTCAGTGGATATTTCAGTTAAAAAAATCTAAAGCTGAATAGTCCTCAGTCATTCATTATCCATGGTTCATTGATCTCTTGTAAAATACATAGTAACTATGGAAGATATTTTGGGTAAAAGAGATAATGTTGACATGATACTCTATTGTTCTGCTTCTTAGCATTCTCACATTTCATGTGGATACTTTTGCTTTCTAAATTGATCACAATTATCAAACTTAAGAGAATGATATCAATCTTTCTGATGAAGCTGCCATATTTTGAGCATCAAACTTAAGAAAAACTATTCTTGTGACTTGGCATCAACGTATTCATGATAAATATCTATTTTTGAGACACCTCGCATTTTTAACTGGTGAATAACTGAATTTATTTACTGTTACTCTGTGTTGCTATTTTCTAATAAAGAATATAGCACTACTAGACTTCATCCTAGAGTTTTGGGTAGCCTAAAACTTAGTGCCTGAGTATTTAAATTTTTTTCTCTTTTCAGATAGGCATAGTTCATACAGCTAGTGTGATGTTAACTTTCTATTGTTTTAGAATGTTAATGTGGTACACACTTTCTCTTAGTTAATAATACAGTAGGCCTTTTGTTTATTAAAGGAAGAGTACTCCCCACACCTAAGACCGGATTCTTGTATCTACCTGGTTACAGTGCAATTTGAAGTTTTGTTTTTTTGGATGGTGAGATTTGAAATATTTACATTAACATAGGCAAAAAAAAAAAAAAAAAGATGCTGCTTTACTGTGTCTGTCACCATGAAAACTTAGCTGCATCTTTTGAAATATCAAATATGAATTTTCTCTAAAATATTCTGAAATAGTTAAATCTTATATAAATATTACTTTGTGCAATATTGTTGTGTAGTTAAATGGATATTAGCAAAGTATAGCGGTCACTGTGTAAATTGATAGAAAAGTAACCATCAGCAAATACTACAGTGATTAGTTAGAATCTATATTATTCCTTATATATATGTATATGTATGTATTCTGTGTTACAAAGGATGAAGACAAATAGGGAAATATTTCAGTGTAAACCATTTATGGATTGGAAGTGATGTTGGTTTTAGTTATCTTTGTAAATAGGTAATTAAAATGGTATGAAAGGTAATGTGATTATTGCAGGCGTGTTTTAAAATCCTGTGTATAAATTCTTGGGTAAATTCTAGTTATCAAGGCTAGTTTTTAAGGGACATTTGAGGGTATTTCTTTTGTTACTTTGTGGGGAAAGGGGTTAATCACAAAGTGTATGGGTTTGGGTTATTTCTTATTTTTATTTTTCTGTCCAGAAGAATTTCATTGAGCTTTACCAGGCTGTGCAAAGTAAAATTCTTCTCAGGCAACATTTGCTTTTTAAAATAATCATGAAGAGCAAGATTGTTAAAGCAAAAAGTTTTTATTTTGTTTTTCTTGTCTTCCAAGATCCGATTTCCCTGTCTCCCACTTGCCATCCAGCAGATGCCATCTGTCATCTAAGCTGGTCATTACTAGTAAACAAGGAGACTGTCTCCTGACAGCCAGCACTGTGTATAATCACTCAGGAACCAGCGGATCTGCAAAGACCTACAATCAAAAGCAAATCCCCATTTTCCTTTTATAAAACATTCTACCCTCACCTCCAATATAAATGCATTAAAAATATAAAAAGTGTTTAAAATCATGTACTAATAAATTCATTGTATGTTAGAATTGCAATAGAATGGAGAGAAATATTTAGCTAGTAATGTATCTGGAAACTCAATGTCCTATGTGAGTATTAGATTTTGATAGCATGCTTTAAAGACTGATGAATATAAAAGCAGAAGTTTTGAATTTCTTGCTGCTTTCAAAAATGTATCCTAGTTTAGTGATACAAATGATTGCAACTTTTCTAAATCATTAAATTATTTGGTTTGGTGGAGTGAGGCATGGAACAATCTGGCGTCTTCTGATTTGTAAAGTTGTGATGGCAGTGAAATTGTAACAAATTTAAGCAGATCTTCCTTTTTGGTATATTATCTGTTGTGCCAACTCTTGAGATTACTTGCAGAATGTGGGCTATAAGCTTTATGGAGAAATGTGGAGAAGAGGGAATTTTTTAAATGTGCTTATGGAAAGGACCTAGTAAATGAATATTCCTAATAGTAAATAGGATGGTTTTATGGTATCCATTAAAAAGGATAAAAGTCTTCCCCCTGCCTCAAAAGTCATTCTATAATTACCAAGATAATGCTAGCAGTAAGATTATGATTCCAAGAGATATCTCAAATTCAGAAAGCAATAATAATAAAAACCTACATAGTCCCTCCTTCAAACTTTCAAAAAAATTCCTTAAAAATCCTAAGCTTAACTGTACTTTTAATTTGCTTATTCAGTACTTAAAATTTGTTTAACTGGTACATTATTTTTAGCTAAAGACTTGGAAAGTGCCGTGTCCCCTCAGAGACAGTTGGACCATCAACTGACTAATACTACAAGCTCTAGTAGGGGGAAAATGAGCTTATTAGATAAATTTTTTACAAAACCTTGAAAAAGATGTCTTGCATCATCAGTCTTAGTAGGCATAAAGGTCATTATGAGTGGAGAAACTTTTGCTTATTTGCCTTTTCCTATATAAATATTATTGTCTCAAAGCTAATATAGGAACAGGACTCCAAAATCTATGAAAATATACTCTTAGTGACTATATCATTAATATTAACCCATTATATTTTCATGTGTATCAGCCATTAAAAAGTTATTTGTATTTATACCTTTAGGAAGATTGTTTGTATCTTTTTAATAAATATGTTTCGTCACTACCACAGATTTTAAAACAGGAACCTTTCAGTAGCACATGCCAGAGGTTCACATTTTTGCTAAGTTTTGTTTTTAAAACAGGTTTTAGCTGTGTTTATTGGTCATGCAAGTAAAGGAAATGCACAATACATATGTTTTTCCTAAGCGCATAAGAGGACTCATCCTCATCCTGAAAGTTTGTTGCTTTGAAAGCAAGTACCTCTCCATACATATGGCCTTCCATTTTCTTCATAAATTTTTTAGGATCCACTTGTGCATGTAGTTGAGACCACTGTCTCTTAAAATATAGCACTTTTCAATTTTCTCTAAAGAAATATGTACTACTTCTATCACATGTTGTAAATTTTCATGTAATAGTGTTTTCTGTGACTAAACTCCATTTTGATTGGCAGCTAAGAATTTTTTTCCTGTGGCTTTAATTTATCTAAGAGGTCTTTGCATATAGATGAAATGTATAATTTGCCTGGCGGACTGTTTGCGTTGTGTGGCCTTAGTTTGTTTATTGACATTAACAAGTGTTTTAAAAAAGGTTTTTAATGAATAGTCTTAAATCCAAATTTGTGTGAATAATAATCCTTTTAACAGTGCTTTTTTGTAGCTGTCTAAGTGTGTTAAATTGTTAAGCTATTTCTTTGTAAAATAGGACAATGGAATGCATAGAGGTTTTTTTTCCTGTAAAGTATTTTTTTAATAAACAAAGTCTGATTTGTCCTTTACTGATGTTTCATTACAAAATGAATAGCACATGCGAATTCTAGGTACCAGAAACCGGTTTCCTTTCTGCCTTCTCTATCCTATCATTAAAAAAAAATTCTTTTTTAAATCTTAGACTTTTCCTTCCCAAAGAAATGGTCATAGATAAGGGAGGGAGGATCCATCTATATTGAGATGCAGCTAGTTTTGGGTAAAAGAAAAACTATATTTGCCTTGGGCCAGGGATTTAGCTCAGTGGTGTACCGCACCTGCCTTGCAAGAGGAAGTCCTGAGTTCGATCCCTGGTACTGGAAAAAAAAACCAGTATTTGCCTTTGTGGCAGTTACGCTTCTTGCTGTTTGAATTGGTTTGTCTGTACTTATCAGAATATTAAATTTTTTATTCTGGTGATGTAGATAATTCTTGAAAATATATGGAGGGTAGATTTTTCAGGTGTCCATATACTATGCAGCCCAGCAATATTTTGGTAGTTCTGTGAATTTGAATGTAGGGGCACTCTGCATTTAAGCTACATCCCCAACTCTACAAAGTAGTAACTTTTTGAGACGGGGTCATTCTGAGTTGCCCAGTCTGGCCTTAAATTTGAAATCCTTCTACCTCAGCCTCTAGCGGTTTGGGTTATAGGCAAGCGCCTAACATAAAATGGATTTCTTTCCCCTCATCAGTTTTTTGTTTAGTAGAAAGATAATCCATAATACAGGTGAGAAAGCAGGCTTGTTAGATTGAATACATTGCTTAAAAATACACAGTTCATTAGTAGGAGCAGGGATTTGAGTGTAGTCCTGGGTTCAAAGCCCCGTGCCTTACACAGTGGCACCCTGAACACTGAAAAGTTTTTAACAAGGCTCCTAAAAATGGTGTTACTTTCCATTATTTCCCAGTACCATTTCCCAAACAAGTTCTAAGCCCCCCTCCCCCCTAAAAAACCTCCGTGATAACAAAGTAAAATGCTTTTGGTATTAATGTAATTTGGGTCTTAAAGCAAGTATCTTGAAAGTTTTCTTTCTTCATTTCAGATGGCTATTTGACTTGAAACCCAACAGAATTGTAATGCTCAGCTCTAAGGAAGAGAAAAGGGCAAATGGGCAAGAGCTGTTGGAAACCACCGCCAATGTGGGTGAATAAGTTTTTAAAGTTCTGAGTTACTTTTATAATAATTTTCCTCGTCGGTATAACGGAAATATTTTAAGAATGTGTATAAAATGTTTAACACCAAGTCTCTTAGGCTTTCTCAAGTGGTAGTTATTAATTTGTAATTAGCTTTACCTGACCCAGATGTTCCTCTCTGTGAGCAAGCAAGAACACAGCTTCAAATAAAATGAAGAAAAAGGCCCTTGGGGTTAGTAGCAGGTGAGAAAAATCGAATTGGGAAGAGGAAGGCGAAGGCAGGTTGGAAACCTTACCATCGTTAACATTCATTTGAGGGTTGCAACCGTTTTCTCCAGACCTTCCCGGCCTGCTTGAATTTTGAAATTCCTGCTGCCACCTTCCCTTATAATTTGGGAAAAGCGATCAGTGACAGACCAGGCTCTCTCCTTCCTCTTCCTTTACACCCTTGAAATCCACAAAGCTTAAGTCCCAGAGGTGCCGAGGGGCGGAGAGAGAGTCACTAATTTGCAGCCCTGGGCCCTGCATTTCACAGCAGTCGTTCACTCAACCAACACAGAACCTGTGTGCAAGCTCGGGCAGGCCTCAATCCGAGATCCTCGGGCCCTGCAGCCCACTGGGGAAAACCAATATGGAGTAGTGAAACAAAGTGCTACGAAGACGCGAACCAGAGATCGCTGGATGGGAAAGTCGTTTCTGAGGAAGTGGTTTTTAAGCGGGACCTTTGGGTGCCCTGGGGGAAGCCGCTCCAAGCCGGAGATTGCAGCGCCGCGCCCCAGCCCTGAGAGGGAAGGCCCGGGCCGGGGGCGGAGCCAGCTGGGCGGCTAGAGCGGAAAGCGGAAGCCGAAGCGCCGTGGTCTGCACCGAGGCTCGGGCGGCTGAGTCACAGCGTTACCCGGCCGGCCAGTGGAGACGCGCGTCGCCGCTCTGCCGCCTCCTCCAGGGCCTGGGCCTTCGCACCTGGCTTTCTCCAGAGGGGTACAAGTCCTTTTACCGTTGCTGTAGTGAGTGGCGGCCTAGCGAAGGCCCCTTCTCTTTGACCCCCCTCATTGCCCAGGCCATTCTTTGCTTATTTAATGGCCCATCCGGTGACTTGGTAGGTGCGTTGTTTGTGACAACAGACTGCCCTCCTTGGAGCGCGGGCTGCCAGCTGCTGCCGAGGCTGGTGCAGCCGCTGCAGTCTCCATGGTAACGGCCCCGCCGGCGTCGCGGCCTCTCGGGGAAGATGCGGCCTGCTGGGCCCGCCGCCTCGCCCCCGGCTTCTCGGCCCGGCCGGGGCCACTGAGGAGGAAGGACCCGGCCGTCGGCCTGCCTGGCAGCGAGCACCAGGTAAGAGTCGGACGCCAGGGGACGCTGGGGGCGGGCGAGTGTACCCCGGTACTTCTCTCCCTCCCTCCCTCCGTCCGTGAACACACGCTCACGAAGTCTCGCAGAAGCTTCCCTGGCGCAGCGGGGACCGTTTGCCCCCCCCCCCCCGCAGCAGCCCGAGAAGGAGACTGCTGCTCCCCAGTGCACCCCAAACTGGGAGAGTAACCTTCAGCGACTGGACTCACCGACCGGTTTTCCTTAATTTTCAGTGAAATCCCACTCTCTGGCTGGAGACACAGATGGCCTCAAATGAGAGAGATGCTATATCGTGGTATCAAAAGAAGGTAATATCAGTAATTTTTATTTGCAGAGCATACTTCCTGCAGAAAGTTTCCACAAGGAATATCACGTTACTTTTTCCTGAGTTTGATAATGCCAGGTATTATATAGTATCTCAACATAAATGCAAAAATGGATGTAGAAGTCATTATAAACTCAGTTCCAGGTCTAGGATAAGATTCTCGAGTTCTTTCCCTTCTCCAAGCTGCATACACAAGCCAAGGCAATGCTTTGAAAGTTTACTTCTGATCAAACTTCAGAAATACGAAGGAGGCCTTTATCTGCATGGCTTAAATTGATACTGTCCTCTTATTGAGCTGTCCCTTACCTTTTATTCTTCTCCAGTATTCCTATTGATGTTTTCCTTAAGAAGTGGAAATATCTTTTAAGGTAATATTTGATTTGAAATATTTTGGGTGTTGCTTTTTAACCTACTTTTAAATCCAGCTATTTTAGATTTTTAAAGGAAATAGTTTTTGGAAATATTTATTCTAACTCTTGAGAAGCAGAAACATTTTTTGGATATATTAATACTTAATAGATTAATGACTTGACTTCCATGTGAAGCTTGACGTAAAAATATAAGTATTGCCTTTGCATCATTTAAATAGCTTGCTCCTTATTTCAGATTGGAGCATATGATCAGCAGATATGGGAAAAGTCAATCGAACAGACTCAGATTAAGGTAAATTGATTTCTTTGACTCTAGCTTTGTTTTACTGCATTATTGTAAAGAGTGGATTGTACTTTAAAAAATCTGCACTTATCCACCAAGTATGGCATTCTTCATTCTTTGAAGTTTATAAGAAAACAGCATGCATAATGATGTGTCAATTCACACATGGCTTTAGTACCAAACGTCCCATATAAGTGGGGCTATGATTACTTAACTTTGATTAGTTTTTACCACGTGGCAAGTCAGGCCCAGTATTGCCAGAATTTCAGATTTTTCAAGAGAAGCTGGAAATATGCATTTTTATGTGAAATTCCCAGATTTTTAAAAGGTATTTGTTCTTCTCTTTTCCTTTTTCTCTTCTGTCTTCCTCCCTCCTCCTCCTCCTCCTCACCATCACCATAATCACCCTGCAAGCCAAATAAAATCCATTTTTGGCCTGAATCCAGCTTGTGGTCCCCCTCCTTGGTTTTGTTTGTTTGTTTGTTTGTTTTTGGTGTCAGGATCTTGCTGTGCAGTTCAGACTGGCCTCGAACTCATAGTGATCCTCCTCCTGCCTCTCAAGTGATGGCCCCCAGTGTTTATATTTTTCAGGTTCTTAACCTTTTTTTAATATACTATCTTTAGAACTGAGCAGGTTTTTAGGTTCTTTCCTCCTAACCAAGCAAGCAAACACTGATGTATAATTTAGAATGCCAGCTTACTAATTTATAATATGGGGAGAGTTAATCTTCTAATGTTTCAAAGTTAGGTTGTAGGTCAAGAGAAGTGGTGGTTCTAGTGCCAATGAAGTCATTGAATGGTAGCTTGATGGTCAAATGTAATTAGATAGTCTTGAGAGATGTGGAAAGCCTGAAGAGCCAGCTGTGGCCCTTAAAAGAATGTATTTGTCAAGGACCAGGGATTTAGCTCAGTGGTGCCATGCCTGCCTCGGAAGTGCAAGGTCCCGAGTTTGATCCCCGATACCAGAAAAAAAAAGAATATATTTGTCTACTGACCTTAATTCTTAAATCTATACGTTCTCAGGGTCTTACTGCCTTGGAAAGTGCTCATAAATGCCAGCAGATTCTTGTTTCTGGACCTTTTCTTAAAAAAGATTTGCAGAACTTCTATTATCACTTTAAAAAATACTATGTACAACTTAATAGTGTTCTACTTATCTATAAGTCACATTAGTTAGATTGGACCATTTAAATCTCTTTGGTAAAATATATTTAACCAACATATAGGGTACATTTCTTTATAGACCAATCAATTAGAAAGCTATTTGAACTACATGGTAACTTTTCAGTTTGCACAATTGTTGATTATTTATATTAATGGGAGATGGGATTAGGATGACTAGATCCCCTAATTTTATGTTATAACTCTGTAAATCTCCTATTATTCCTTTGTGAGCAGCTAAACAGTATCAGTAAGTATGTAATGGAACAGACCTAGCTTTGTGACCTCTAGCTTTGTGATTTTGAACAAGTTAAGTTTGTATGGGTTTTGGTTTCCATATTCTAAAAAAGATTTTTATTGGTTTATGTTTGTGCTACATAATATTTGCATTTATTTTGGGGAATTAGTACATATATAAATCATATCTTGATCATTTTTGATCCTTTCCCCCTTAAAAAGATTTTACTTCTATAAAGGACCTTCTTCTAACCAATTTAGATTTTTCTCAACTCTTACTTCCATGCTGTTTACTGAATACCTTTCTTTTAGTGCACCATATCAGTTATTTGTTAACCTGTACATGTTCATAGGCCTCAAGGGCAAAAATTATGTTTATATCCCATTCTCAAAACATCTTGATTCACACTAGAGACTTAGTGTTTGTTACTGAATTAAATTGACTTCCATCTAAATTGACTTACATTTCCATGCATGTTTTTTACTTATTGTTCTGTCACATGGTGATCTAACAGTTCCTTAATATATACTTTTTAATTTAGCAGCAGTGAAAAGAATGAAATTGAAGACAGTTATAAATGTTGACTGAGCTAATGTGCACACACAACAGGTACTAAGAATACAGTGAAAAAGATAGACCTCTTCTTGTCTTCCTGGGTGTTATAGAGTCAGTGATGGTGGGAGAAAATTCAAGATATCTTTTCAAATATGTTTAGTTAGGTTTTAGATAGAAATTGGCCAAAGATATAAAAGTAGCTATTGAGGGCTGGGGATTTGGCTCAGTGGTTTTGCCACCTGCTGTGCAAGCGCAAGGACCCGAGTTCTATCCCCAGTACCAAAAAAATAAATAAAAGTAGCTAATGCAGTTTAATAATAGTTTCACACACATTCATATATTTTGAAGCCAAACAAAATATAAAGAAAAAAAATTTAAAAAATAAGAAATCATCAAATCACAATACTATTACGAATTTTTAATTACATTTATAAAAGTGAAGTATGAAATTTAAATATAAATTTTGAAATTTTTGAAGTTTTAAACTTCTTACATGGATCATGAAAAGTGATATGAATTCTTTTTTTCTTCTTCTTTTTTTTTTTTTTGCATGGTATTAGGGATTGAACCCTGGGCCTTGTACCTGCTAGGCCAGTGCTCTACAACTAAGCTACATCTCTATCCTAATATGAATTCTTCCACAAATGCTTATTGAACTACTGTGTCTAAGGCATTTTGGCTAGACGCTGAGAAGAAGTAGAAAAGGATTAACAAACAGAAGTATAAGACTTGTTTAAGGAAACAGCAAGTAGCCCAGTATGGTTGGAGTATAGGTTGTGCACAGCGATAGCCCATACATGAGTTTGAAGATTACCCAACTGCTTTGCTAAGAACTTTTGCTGTGAGATTTTCGTGCCGAGAGATGGGACACCAAGACCCTTTTCTGAGGAAGCAGCTTTATTTATGCCAGCACTGACTCGGGATTCATATCCAAGGCCTGAGTGCTGAACATGGTGTAATTGCACCCTTTTATACAATTTTTATGCCTTTGTCTTCTTTATAGGGACATACACTAACATTTTATTTTGGTTGGGTATACAATAACAGTCTACAGTCTGGTTGGGTACGATTTATGTTACAGAATTACATCAGAGCTACACAGAGGCTGATATTGCTACATTATAAAAAGTTCCCACCCTGACATGTCCGGAGGGGCCCTACCACACTTTAGTTATTCTATAATAAATGGAAAGATGTTGATAATTTTTTAGTAGACAAGCCACATCCTGTTATCCAAGTATAGAAATAAAAATATAGACATTGTAACAAAATCTATGGAATGTTTCCAGAGTAATACTTGATGAAATGATATTCTACATGAGTATATGAACCAAAAAAGTCTAGATAGAGTTATAATGAATCAAATTTATATAT